GCGTAAAAATAATACATATCCTAAAAACTATAATAACTATACTCTATAGTAAGTTTACAGAACTATTTAAAATTGTCAGAGAATTGTGTTTAATAAAAAATATATATATTTTTACAAACGCAGAACAGTTTCATCGATATTTTATAATGTTTAAGCAATTTTTTATTGTGTATCATAAATATTATATATTTCTACAGGTTGCAATGGCTAGGATATTCGTTATGTCGGTCTTGGATTAGATGCGCAACAGCTGGAAAATATTTGACTACCATAACACTGTTTGTTTTTTTCCAAACAGCATCGCAGAGATACTTTTTTTCGACGTTAGAATCGAGAAGTTATAATATACCTAAAGATATATCAAGTACGTATRATAAACAATACSTAACTATATGCAAAAGCTACGGATTTCTWATTGATTATTTTACTATATTTACGTGGGTTTTTTTTAAAATCTAGATTGGCTGTGGATTCTCAGTGGATTTGTTCATTTGACKCTGTCAACCTTCATTGGATACCGAGGGGGTAAACGCAACAAGAATTCATGGATTGCATTTTTTGGGATTCTGCAAGGAATTTTGGCTGTCTTACTGGCGATGATCAACGCGTCCGATCATTACAGCTTTCAACGACCTTCAGCTTTAATTTTGGCTACATTAGGAGGTAATATAATAACGAACGTATACTATGATGAAACGAATTATTAAATATTTAAATCAACTTAACACGAACCCTAAAAATATGTTCTCATCCTATATAGATACTCCATTATGCGACTCTATTCACGGCGCTCACATAAAGGAACCATACATCCCGTTTCACTTGGTGAAAACTACAGTATTATTCTTGCTCCAAGTCACCATGTCACTAGGAAGCACAGCTCTATTGGCTCTTGGTCTTGGTCTACTTGACGAATCAGTAGCCCCAACYAAAATACCGGCTTGCATAGGTGTTGTCATCGGTTCGTCACTGTTGGGACTTCAGACGGGGTTGATGGTGGGGAAATTTGCATTCCACGTGAGCGCGGAGTTCAACTTGGCCGGTGACGTCGTGTGGCTTAGTAAGTCTCCAATACATTGTGCGCATTATATCACATACATCGATTTGAACTCCATAGTGACTATCGTATAAAAACCTGTTATTTATTTCAACAGTTATTGGTTTGATACTGATTGTTGTATCTTTTATCGTGGCTCTATATCCAAGCAGACTGGTCACGAGCCGTGCTTCAACGTTAATACGCAATAGCCCAATTTATCGAAACAACAGATACGGTATACGCAATACATTGTAATTTTTGYCGAACTCCGGTATTAACTTGTTCCGTATATTTTAATAGATTTCAGGAGCACGCTAGGAAGAATTTTCAGTAACAAGTTAATTTTATCCAATATTGCAGCCATCGCTTGTGTGTACACAGTATTAATCAATATGTTGTACGAAGAACCTAATTATATGGAGTCAGTGTTTTTCGTGCCCAAACACACAACGGATGCAACTGATCAAAATACCATAATCATAGGTTTGTAAACTTATATCTGACAATATTTATTCATAAAATTATAATAAAAGCGATAATGTACCTATTCGTTCTTAATAATATTGTTATCTTATTATTTTTAGTGATTTATGGAATAATAAAATTGTATTCTAGAATTGCGTTAACTTCGTAATGGTCCAAACACGCTATGTATATGTAATATTATAATAATAATTGTGTAACGTGTTTATATTTTAGATTTTTTGAGATATCCTTTGGCAGCTGTTTGCGTGTTTTTATCTGGCGTGTTAATATGCATTACACAGCCAAGGGCTACATTGTTAGCCGCTTGGAACATTGGCATAATTTGTGTTGTGACTATATTAGTTTTCACTAGTATGTTTCTTCGATGTTCCAAAATACAAGTACACAATCAAATAACACACAAGTAAGAATCGGCTTGAAAACTAAAGAAAAAATTATCGCCAGTAAAACTTACGAGTGTTTCTTGTTATTCAATAAAGGTCCGATTTAAATGAATTTTGCAATAAGGATTGCAATTGTCCAGACAATATTCCATTTGAACCGGTTTGTTCGTCCAACAGTCATATTGTCTATTATTCACCCTGTCACGCTGGCTGCAGGACCCAGGATCTGTATTCGAGACAGGTGTGCATAATTAAATCATAATTCATATTAACAAACGCACGAAATTAAAAAATAAATTGTACAATCTGTTCGTATCGCAGGAGTACGTGGGGTGTGCTTGCGTCCAAACTGAATCCGCCAGCAAACGCGCTTGTTATGATCATAATTGCCACCAAATGAACGTCGGGTATCAATCAATTTCAGTATTGATTCTGTCGTTATTAGGGACGTGTATAGTTGGAACAATCATTTTACTTCTAAGGTAATACACTAATAATACAGATAAATGTATAGGTATACTTTGTATGTAAACTATAGAATTAGTGGTCTATTTAACGTGCCTAAATTAATTTWTTTAAGTCAACTTTTGTGTTTAGTAGTTATTGTTATTTGGCATTTTGGCAGTATTATAATAGTTATYAAATAATATTTTATGTACTTAGCACGCGTACCCGTCAACGGGATTTTAATTTGTTATCCCACTGATTTCGCCTTTACGATTTTAGAAGCGTCGAACCTGATGATCGTACCACAGCTTTGGGATTCGCAGTGACTTCCATTTGTTTGATGGGACATGTTCCTGGAAAAATACTCTACCTATTTATTGGACGTATGTAATAAATTATGAATCTACAAACTATTTTACTTTTACATAATATACTTGATTTTATGTTATTCTAAAAGTAAACACAACATAATAATATTATATAGACAATTGAACTGTTTATTTTTCAGATGTAACTTGTATTTTGTATGACAGTAACGATCAGTGCCGATTAAATGGTGCGGCAACGTTTTCCACCTATCTTAGTCTGTCGAATATATGTAAGCGTAACCTACTATTATGATACAACTGTGGCATGTAAATTGCAATGATTGTTAATATATTTTAATTCGTGCACATAAACTTGTTCGCAGGTATACTCATGACGTCAGCAGCGCTTTATGCATGCGTGTGCTTAATGTCAAGGCCAATACGTCCATACGGAACTTCGGATTCTGTGAAAAAATTTATCGTTAGCTCAGTATCGAGTCCGTTAAGTCCATTAACTCCACCTGGGTTTGAAGAACGAGCGCCCACGCCAACCAGAAAGCCGCCGAAGAGAAGACCGTCTGATTTAACGTTTTCTGCTTCGAACACCAATATTGATTTTACCAGACATACGGACGACTATTCGCCTAGGAGTCCCGGAACAACGCTCAGAGAAGGAGGGGTCTTAACTACATTACTGTAAACTTTTATAAAATATTGTATACCCGTGAACTAAGAAGGATATATTATGTGATCTAAATATCCTATGATTCAGGTCGATGAATTTATTATATATACATTATACATATATACCTAATACCTATACATTATACAGCTACAGAAGTGTTCAATGACTTATTATTATACCTATATAATATTATAATATATGTGCTTCATTAAGCGAATACAAAAWTAAAATTAGACACGCCATACTATTTAATTTGATAGTGTATTACGTACCAATCTAGTCTATGGCTTAGGCTATGTAATRGAGGATATATTTTGGTCCTTACTCCTAATATATTAAACTTAATAATGTTAMATAACTGTGTTTGTAAAACAATTATAAACATAACGAATATTTTATATACGTACTGATCTAATGAAAAGTTGTATTAATGGTATGAGAATAATCAAATCTAATTATAATTTTAAATTATAATGGTTTACCTAAAGTAGAATGATTAACTAAGTAGTAATATCGGTAATGTATAATATTTATGGTTTTAATTAATAAATTACGATTTTAATTGTACTCAAAGTTGTTTAATTTGTAAAGACTAATGATTGACATATTTTGGTGTTAACCACTGCAGGTATTTGTGTGAATATATGTTTATTTATTATGTTTTTTATACATTATAATGTATCATTAATTTTATTTCGTTTTAAGTTAAACCCTTAAAATAGTTACAAAATAAATAAAAATTTTCATCGTTAAATGCTATTATGAATTCATATGACTAGCCGACTAACCATAATTTATGATGTATAAACTTAAATTTTGGCTGTATTGTTAAAATCAACCATAAAAATAATTAATAATATTATTGTTAATAATTTGTATTTACTAAATATAAGGTTATTAATTCATATTGAATTATAATTTATGACTAATGCCTAATTGACGAATGTTTTTGTTAAATTAACAATYATTTATTTTAAATTAGGTAGATTATAAATGCAAAAGTATATAGTAATGTTTAAAGTTTTTCAAGTATAAAGGTGATTGAAAATTTTCACTAGAAATTGCCAAATACTGCAGTTCTTTTAGACAATTTAGTTTATTAAAAACCATAATATAATAAATAATTATTATAAGGATATCTGAATATATTTTGTTGAAAATTTGTAATATTATAGCTATCTATTGATTGTTTTATAATAAAGATTAAAGGATTTCAAATCATTGCTTTCAAAGGCTTAATAAAATACCTTCCTTGTTGATGCGAGAGACTTTAATAGGATGAGGTGGTAGGTAAGTAGTAATCAATAGGTAACCTAAATGAAACTTTTTACAAGTCATAAAATGTAAACTTAAATTTGTGTTAATGTGTTCATATTCATACATAATATGCATGTATCTTTAATTATGACTCATTATTAATCATTTCTTGTGTTRTATTTAATAAGTTGTAATGTACTATATTTATATAATAATATAATCTATTACATAATATAGGATAACCAAATTGATATGGTTTCAAGCATTACATAAATTTTCATAATTTTATATTAAATAGGTATGAAATTTTAAATCATACCAACTCAACATTTGACAAAATGTATCAGCATTAACCATTGTCAATATATTATTATAATCATTATTTTGTTATTTTCGTATAAGTGATAGATTTATCTGCTTAGGAGTAGGTATTACCAATAAATTAATAACTATTAAATTATTAGCTTACTGAAAACTATATTAGTTTCGTATGATAGTAAATTTTGAAAAAAGGATCATTAGGTATAAATATTGCAATAGTTTAATATGTAGTATTTTTTTCCGAAACCTATTTCATTATATCTCCGTTTTATTAAATATATTCTTTACTTAATAAATATTTATTAAATTATTATATTTTAGTTACACAAAGATTAACGTACCTAAATATTTATTTACGTTGTCGAGTTTGAACATCTTGTCAGCAGTGCYGGCTTTAGAACAGGTGCCGCCCTAGGTACTTTTTAATATGCCACCCTTGTCCCAAGAAAAAAAATATAGTACTTATTTGGCTTTATAACATAAGCACCAAAGGTACAGAAATTACCTATCATTTGTGCCAAAATTTGTAGGACATAAACGCCAATCTAATAATATACCTGTAATACCCAACATATGAAATAAACGCCAAAGTTGTAAATATAACATATGATTTGTGCTAAAATTAATATTTTATATAAGTAGTTATTTAATAATTGCTATCTTATAAAAAATTATATTATACAATAAATTATACTAAAAAAATGTTCAATAATAAATAAATATAAATTTAATAAATTGGTTGCGATAAAAAATGTCAATAGGAAGTAAAATTCGATATACATGCAAAAATGTCAATAATAGATTATAAATTTAATAAATTGATTGATTTTTTAATCCCACTTTTCACATATTCTATTCGATTTATTTYATCATCCTGCTATTTCTTACATTGTACAATTATTTCTTCGTTAAATATCAAAGTACATAATAATAAATTCATCTACTATTCTATCGGTAGGCAAGTCTGAGAGAGATTCAGGGATACCGTGAACAACAATAATGTTGAATGAACACTTCTCACGTTCAGATAGCTCAATGGAACACACAATCAACCTTAGAATAAAGCGATTAGCCAGCAGAGGTTTAAAGATCAATGACCCTCTCTTTAAGAGCCAAAATATCATATCGGAAGGACACATTCTCTGACATTAAATCACAAATCTGAGTAGATAATGAGTCTAAGCTAGCTTTGAGAACGTCACATTTTTTGTCATGAGATAAACTTAAGGACTTGCAATTAACTAACATTTCTTTCAGGGCTTTTTGTATTTCTGGAATAATACTACGGAATTCAACCACTGAAAGATGGTCGGGCGATGACGACTGAGGTCTACTTGGCTTTGTGGCAGCAGCAGTAGCAGATTGGAGGTTGATTTTAGCAGGAAAACTGGGGCTMATTGTCAGAAACGGCCTTGTAAATATAGGCAGGCAACTAAAATTACAGGTAAGCAGATAGAGTAGCAGAAGGAAATGTAAAAGTGGTAAGCTCACCCCAGCAATGATGTGACGTCACAGGAGAGTTTAATGGGATACCTTAGTACTAGTAACCACGAAAAGTGCAAACAGCTGCTGGTAGGTAGACAAGGAAAAAATAATGATAAAAATGATTAATTACAAGAAAAATTGAAAATTTAAGCACGAAGTTGCAAAGACATAGTAATTATACTAATTATATTTCAAATACAAACGCAAACAAAAACACGGATGCACTGAGAGAATATAAGCTAGACTGTAAAAGAATAGCCGGAGTTATTACAGTAGAAAAATTGAGGAAGAGTGTGTAAATTAATAAAACTAAATTCGAATTTTAGATGCTTATAAAAAATATTATGTACTGTGGCTATGTGTTTTTCAACTAAGTTGTACTATTCCAATTGCTGGAACGATTGCGACGAAATTTGGTACACTGTGTACTACTATAATTTATAAATTACCTATACAATACTACATAAGTTATAATAGCTATAGACTGTATCAAAGCCTAAATGTGAATGAGTCTTAAAAAATTATCAAGTATAGATGGTTATTTCAGCAGACATTTTATCACACATTTCATAATACATCGAGCTTACAATGTCTTGTAAGATTTTTGTTTTTATTTTAAATTGCCATCGGTGGTAATTTGCCAAACAAAATATAATTAACCACGTTTTGCGTACTAAAAAATTGGTTTACGTCACATATTTCAGCGTCATGAGATTATACTGTTGAATCAAGTTTTTATTTAATATTTTTTTTTCTATTATTTTTTGCAACGATTACCACATATACCTAGATCATTGTGACGTTTTAAAACTTAAAATAGTGTAAATAAAGTACGATAATATATCTTTGATATTATAAATATACTATTTTTTTTATGCCACATATCATGGTAGAACCAAACTATGATTCTATTTTATTTTGYTACTTTTTGTATTTCTTATTTTCTTAAGGTTCTATTTTCGCATTGCTTCTCCTCTACCCAACATAAATGTATTTAACGACATATAAATGCATACACTCTTATATGATTAATATTGTTGAGAAGTCTGAATAGACTATACCCATAHATAATAATATTTAAGTTACCTGCTAAAATTGAGTTGTCCGTTGGAAGTTTAGCAATGGCTTTTAGTTTCAGTTTAAATCAATTGAGTTGACAAGCAACTTGACTCATAATTCTTATAATATAAAGTATTAACATTGACTATAAATACTAGTATTTATAATCAATGGTATTAAGTATAAACACGATATAACTTAATATCATCAGGTATAGTGAATTAATGGCTGATCCAAGTATATATTTATACATTTATGAAATAAATTATGCTCTTAATTCTATATATACTCGTACATTGTATTTCTATTATTAATCAGTATATACGTATGATATAAATAAATGCTGAATTTAAACATTTATGTAATATTAATACCTATATAACAAACCCTTATTATTTAATGCATTCATTTAGGTATTATTTACTTAACTGATTTAACATTTTTTCCTCGACGATTTAACACATTAATTCGAGATTCATAATTAACACAATCATTTTAATGGTAAATTTACTAAATCGTTTTCATTTTTTAAATATCGTGTTATTTACAAGACCTTACAGGAATTTCTAAATTTGAATTTTTTTTAATGCATTCAATTTTAATCGTGGGTGTGTTTTTTAATATCTTTATCAATATAAACTATAATATTTTTTAAATGTAATTGTAGTTGTTTTCATATGTATATCAAATGTATAATATATCACGTATGGCTAATTGAAAATACAAAATGTTATATTAAATCGAAAATTTTATAAAAAAAAAAAAATACATTTTCTTTCTAATTGAAAACAAATATAAAATCCATATTTTAGGGAAATATCTTTTACAATATCTTGAAAAAATATATATTTTGAAGAAATAACCAAAACTCGTAATATGAATACCTAGGTATGGTTATTGAAATTATATATTATATTATATTGTTGGTAATAAATTGTTCATTTTTWAAAAAAAATTTAGACTATTTTAATGTGGTGTGAAGTTTCGAAAAAAAAGACAGATGGTTCGTTCACCGCAAACTATAAAGATACAAAATATAATATATAGTCTACAGAAATCGAATGAATTGTTTTGGAACACTCCGTGCGATTGTTGTAATTTAAATAAATATTTGTATACATTATATAAGCCAAATACCACACTCACTCACTCACTSACTCATTCATCACTACATATCTCAAAAAGTACAATACCTACGTATGAATTTGAAATTTGGAATAGTAAAGGTATAGTCTAATGATCTAGGATTTAGATGTACCTACAATAAGAAAATATTTTCCGACATTCGTATCTTAAAGAAGAAGTGAAACAGGAATCTTAAAATTTAARGTGAAAATTTAATTTTTTTTATATATAAAATATAAATGGTTACCATTGGTTACTCGGCAGATGAGATATATACATCAAATTTTTGTGATTAAAACCTTAAATTAAGGAACTATATCTTAAAATCATATGTAGGTATGTGTTGTATGATATATACTTAAAAATTACTCAATTGAATCAAAAATAGTTTTTAGAGATTTTAGAAAAGTTTAAAGAGTAAGTAGKTTACGTATAAACCACGTTAAAAAMCYCAAGTGCTAACTTGCCACCTAAATCCAATCCATGGCTTGCGTTTGGTCATCTAGGTCGAATTATTTCGTCTTATGAAAAYGGGACTTTTTTAAA